TAAATTAAGGCAAAATTCTTTTACTATGTAATTTAAATATGATCTTATTAATAAATTTTATATCACTATAATATTTCATAACAATTTAGACTGGAAATTTTCATTTGATTACATAATTTTATTTTTCGTGTTTCCAAATAAAAAAATTACAGCAGTATGTTCATGTAAATTAAATTTTTTCTTAGTATCTATGTTCCAATGAAGTTAATTCATCATCCTCTCAGTTGCACTGATATTAAGATCTTTTTTGTTTCTATAATTATTAATTCTGCTAAAACAAAAACACATTTAATAANATCTTTGAATACTTTTACAAAAACTTTGTAACACAAAGATATTTTTTAAAAATAATAATCTTAAAAAGTTAATGTTGTTCATTTATTTATTTATTATTTGACTATTTATTTTCAGAATTAATTATATTTCATAATAAAATTTTGATGTGATTATTAAAGCACTTATAGATATTTGTTTTGGGAATATTCTTTGATATAATACTACAGTTTTATAATTTACAGCTTTCCAAGACATATCCAGATTCTGAACACTCTGAAGGCATTGGTGATTGGAAAGTGAGTACTAATATAACTATTTCTCAATATATTTAAAAGTAAATAGAAAGTATGAAATCAAAATTAATTAATCTAGTCAATCCAAACCTTTCTGCGAGTCACTTTGTCAATTCACAACTTATTCACAGGCTGCAGTTACAAAGGAGGGGAAAAGTCTCGATCTACTAGATTTAGTAGAAAATATCCTAACTTGACAGCACTGCATGCATCACCTTAAAAATAACTTCTGTTTAATAAACAAAGCACAAAAATCTTTAAATCGGCAGTCATCAAGCATTTAATGTACAACTTTTTTGGCAGACTTATAAATTTATAATCTTTCATTCCTTAACTTTGCATAATTATGGGTCATTTGTATTAAGTGAGCTCATAGTTTAACGCAAATATTCGGTTCCAATGCAAATGCTGTTAATGAAGTAACGGGAAGTATCGTTTTTATTGTGAATTTGCGTTTTTTTGGCCAAGCCATTAGGAATCGCATCATAGTCCTACTCTAAATCTTTGTTGAATAGAACTAAATTTTGCTGAATATCATGGTGGTTTTGTTTATTAGTTTTATTTCTAGTTTTGGTTTATTTTTATGATTATTTTATGTGCATAGTATTATAGTGAAAGTATACTGAGACGCAAATAATAAAAAAAATTATTTATCGTAATATCTGGATTGAAGCACAATGTTAATGCTGCAAGGGACATGTGCACATTTCATGACAATTCTAGCTTTTAAATTTATGTTCTATTTTAGAATACACATTCATTTATATCTGTTTTCTTTTAACCTGAGGATGATTGCTTGAAACAGAAGAAAATGTTTGTTTTTGTTTTAATACATTAATTTTTTCACTGTTTATTGGTGTTTACATGTAGTAGTTATTATTTATCTAAGTTATACCAATAGTATTGTAGTGTATCTATTAATACACTAGACTAAAAGAGAAAGCAGTGAAATGAGTTATTTATCTGACCTATTTTCCTTTCTATAATTAGTTTTAATCATTATTTGAGATTTATTATTTTAAAACCACTTTTTCACCACATGTACTATATATATATATATATCCTCAATGGATACTGACAATACAGTAGAGCATCGATTATCCGAATCAATTGGGGACTGGAGTTGTTCGAAAAATTGATTTTTCGGATAACCCAATTATGTATGAAAAAATATATTAAGCTATCCCATGTTGAAATTTGTTCAAATCCTGGCACGTCCTTAAGTACTGTACCTTTTCACGGTCGCACCAGTGCTGCCAGCTAAAACACACACATCAACAAAAATAATATTGGAGTAGCCCAAGACATAGCCAAAGATTGCAGTGCCACAGCACTAGCGAAAATTTAAATTTGCCGACTGGAAAGTTTTCAGTTAATTGAAGTTTTGGTTGATCGATATTCGGATATTCGATGCTCTACTGTACCTCAACACACACGCAAAGAAAAAGATAACTGTACGCTCAGAGAAATCATATTAAAACAGTGGTTATTCCTGCATGAATTTAAATAAATGTCTACAGTTCATGTGCTATAGATGATTTATAAGAAACATATTTCAATGTCATTTTCAGTAGTTCAATAGAATCATTTGACGTACAAGTTACTATTTTTAGAAATTGCAATTAAAAACATTAGTGAATAGCATTATTACTGACTTTTTATCTAAGTTTCAAGGAAAATGCATTAAAATATTTTCCTTGAAACTTAGATAATATATTATCAAAGTACTACTGTATATCAAATTATTGAATTCGCTATCATAATTTATAAGTTTAGCAAAATAACATTTACTAATATTTAACTATATTATTTATATTTGTTTTTGTTGCTTTGCTTTGGATTTTTAATAACCTTTGCTTTTGTGTTGAAGTTAAATATTCAAATTAACATTCATTATATGTTAATAATTAAGTCAAAATATATAAAATATTGAATTTACTGGATTAAAAATTTATTATATATAGAGATTAATAAAGGTGAAGCAATTTACATAGCTTAACATTCAGCTCTAGCATATTTCGTACCTGCATACTTGGCTAGAGTTTTCGAGCTCCTTAAAAGTGTCTGATTGACAAATTATGTATTGTCACAGTACACAGAAATAGTAATAATATGTAATTATTTATAACTTAATTAATAATTTAAAATATGTAAAGATTAAAAGAAATAAATTTATCTTAATATAATGGTTCTGAAGTTAATTTACAATGTGAATATTTGCATAATGTATAACATTTTGTTTTATTTAAAGTTGTAATATTTCTAAATTATATGGAATTTTTAGCTTAAGATATCTTATGGGACAACACAAGGAATAAAATGATGAATTGTCATAAATTATGCAAATATTTAGCATAAAAATATTAATACATTTGATTACAATTATTTTAATATTATAGGTATGCATCATTTAACAATGGAGCATTCTGAAAAATACATTGTTGTTAAGCAGACAGTGTACTTAGATAAACTAATATGGTATAGTTTACTGCTTAAATAAGCTATATGCAACACAATTGTAACAAAATTTCTATATCTAAACATAGAAAAGATAAGGTAGCGATCAATTCTTCACCTCTTACAATCATATGGGACCTCTGTTTTTAAGTGGAACATTGTTATGCATTACACACCTGTACAGAAGACATGTAATACAAGTATCTTAAATAGTGACAAACTGTAGACTATAGAAATTAATATCATTAAATTCCTTGATATTTTATGTGTAAGAAAATATTCACAAGGTCGTCTTTTTGTTACTACTATAAAAATGTTTTGATTTTTTTCTGAATAGTTAGAAGAAAAAAAATGTTAAATTCATGCTAGTGAAATCATTAGTTTAATCTTAAATGACATGCATATAAATTTAATATTATATAATTCTTATCAGTATGATAAGTAAAAATTACTATCTTAGTTTATCTACAAAAATATTTATTGCATTATATATTTAATCTTGCATTGTGAAAACATTTTTAAATGTTGCTTACATCATTTAGTTTAAATAAATATTAAAATAGAACAGTTACGTTCAAATTTCTAATAGAAAATTACTTGTAATATAGTTAATTTTTAATTTTATACTTTACTACACTTAAAATTAAAAGGTTTTTTTAATCTGAATTTTGTTACATATTTTCATTTGTTTATTTATCTGGTATTTTTAATTTTAAAAAATTTGGGTTTAAGTTTTCAAACTTGTTTTATTTATTTAGCATATGACAAAAAATCATACAAAAATTCCTATTTATAAGGATGATGAGAATACAAATGCTTGAAATAGAATAAAATATAGTTGAACCTGTCTATTTTCAAATCTCACGGGAATAAGACAAATTTTGAAATATAGATGTTCATACACAGTAAACAGTAATAGGTTTGGTTGGAGGTACAGTATTTTATTAACACAATAGCAAGCCAAACTCGTAATCAATTGATGAAAAGCTGCATTAGTTGTAGCTATGTACTGCATTGCAAGAAATGTCTCTCAACTACAATTTATGCTATCAAAATGTAGTCACTGAGCTTCTGATTTGTAATTGACACTTCAGTCCATAATTCAAGATACAGAGATTTTGGAGAAAATTATTTGAGATAAATATGGAAATTATATTGAATTTAGGCAGAAAATACTGTACCTCCAGCCAGGGAAAAAAGTATAGATTTTGTGATAAACATGTTTTAGATAGACAGGTTCAACTTGGTATACTGGTGTCAAGTTGTGTAATCCATTCCAGAGCTGATGATGATGATGCCACTGTAATATCCATCCAGTTCTTTGCATAAGACCTATTGCATTGATTCACAATTTGTTCCATATTTTATCTTAGTGCACCAGTGACATTCAGAAATCCTACATTTACCATATTTGACTCATTTGGATTCCATTCAGTTTTGTGTATGTTCTGATTTTCAAATGAATGTATTCATCAGATATATTTACAAATATATTCAGAATAAATTTTAAATAATCATTTGAAAGTTATAAATTAATTTCAAGAATATTATAAAATATTATAAGAATGTTGTAATCTATTATGATTCATATAAAACGTTTTTGAAACATTTGCAAAACCAAAAATTATTTTGGCTCTAAATCCTTTTCACCACTGTATAATTCATAGCTGAAAGCAATTTAGAAGCCATCTATTAATTGTGTGTTCAGTTGAGTGACTTCTGACCATCTCTCTCCCTGTTGTGTACAATGATGTACTTTTGTCAAATCCTCTCCTCTTTAACTATATATACAATAGTTCATAGACCTTCTTCTGACATTGAAAAGAATGAGTAAAAAGTTCTGCAAATATTTTCNTAACTAAATCCTTTTTTTCCATACTGGCGAAGAGCAATTTACAGGGCATCCTCTGAACACACAACATTAAAATTCTGGAAAAAAGCTCTAATTTCTTATAGAATAAATAAACTAATTATTATAGTAATTTGAGCAAATTAATTGTTGAACAGATTGAACAAATCAACTAATTATGTTAATAATTTGTAATTAGTAACAGTAAAGGAAAGACTTGAAAAACTAACGAGGCAGGCTGGAGCTCTCAGGCATTGGTAAATAATTTTTTAGATGTAGTATTATTGACGATTGTTTCAACATTAATTAGGAATTTTGTAACTTAGGTCTGTAGTACGTTACTGTTCTAGCGTTCTGGAGAAAATGGTCGATAGCATCAGTCCTTACATTACGTCAACCCTAGTCAGCGGCAAACAGGTGAGGTTTGTTAAAAGTATTCCAGTATATGTAATTATCTACAATGATTTTTTATATTAGATTACAGTTGGTATTTTCGGTCACGAAGAAGTGGTCATCGATCATCCTCTAACTCCCAAAGAAGTAAAAGGCATTATATATGGTCAGTGTCAGCATCATGATATTTATCAAGCAGTTCTTCAACAAGAAATTATTCTCTATATCGGAAGACTCATTTCTACGTCACCGCATCTGTTTCATGGCATTTTGAAACTCAGAGTGGGGTAAGATATTTGTATTCTGAAGCAAACTGTTGTTTTTGTAAGTTTCACATTCTAATCCATTTGAATTCTAACCTATCAAGTGCTTGAGTACCTGACAGATTAAAATGGAAAACTTGCACTGGAATTATATGGAATGGTTGTTAATTCAAATGGAATTTTTATCATAAAAGATAAACTTCAAAATCTTATTCTATGTTTTTCCTTTAACTTTTAGCTGGATTATTCAAGCCATGATTCTTTATTTGAAATTCCTGAATGAGAATCCTCCAGTAAGTGTGTAATCTATTTAAACAGTTTTTCCTAAACTCAATTTCTCGACTTTATAATTTCAGGCGTTACACAGTCTTTCTCCTAGCGATTTACGAAAAGTCCTTTTTAAAGTGCTTGAAACGTCAGATAATGTTGCATCTAATAAGTAAGTTACTGTTGATTATCCAAAATTCATACACTAAACTATTGATTAAAGATGAAACTATTCCCAATATTTAAATAATAATAATAATGTATTACTAACCTAACCTAAAAGTTAGTTTAAATTTGATGTTTTTGAGATTGAAGTGTTTTTTATCCATCTTTTTCTTCTATGTGGTCACTAAGAGGGTCAATACTTCAAACATTTTTACACTGGACTTGCTGTATAACACATCTTTAAAATCTTCTGGGTGCCTGGTGACAAAATTCACGGGTAAACAAACATTTTCAGTCTCCCAAGCTCTGCTTGGAAAGCAGAAAACCTGAAGCAGAGCTCGGAAGGCATCAGAAAATGTTTGTTTACTCATGAATTNAAATAAAAAAATTACAGCAGTATGTTCATGTAAATTAAATTTTTTCTTAGTATCTATGTTCCAATGAAGTTAATTCATCATCCTCTCAGTTGCACTGATATTAAGATCTTTTTTGTTTCTATAATTATTAATTCTGCTAAAACAAAAACACATTTAATAAAGTAATCATTCTTATTGATGTTTGTTTAGCCAAATTAATCAATATGCCTTTGGGTGGACGAAGTTTAAAGAGTTTTGACTGTTAACCGGCCGTCTTCGGTGTGCCAACTTTTAACTATCTGTGCCCAAAAATGGCCAGTTAATCGGGTTGAAACCATGAGCATTCTTTAAACTTCAGCCACCATTAAAGGTGAATTGATTAATTCAGCCGAATAACTACAGTGGCTACTTCATCCTTCTTGATATTTAGCTGACAAACTTGGCCTCAGTATATAAAAATAACTAGTGTTTGCTATCCCAAAATTAAATTTGTTAAATATTTTATATGTTTTTTTCTATATTTTTATGTTATATTATGGTGATTAGTATTTAATAATATAACTAAACTTCTCTTTCTTCTTCTTCAAAAAAAAATACTAGACTTACTTAAAACAATAGTATGTAAATTCCTATTTAAATTTTTATATTTTATATAAGAAAGTTTACCAAATATATAACTTTATATAATGAAAATTTATTTTAATTGCTTAAAAATAGAAATCTTTTGAATTTAATGCGATATATTTGCCTAAATAGATTTATTTTTATGTTACAAATATATTGTCAGTTCATTTTAAATATGTAATTTAATAGTGTTAATATTAAAATTCAATAAATGTATTTTCTGTTGTCCAAATAAATGAGCATTTGTTTATTTTCTTACTTTCTTTTAGGGTAAAGCAGTTGTAAGTATCTTTTCTGTACCTTTCTTGCTTTGTGATTGTTTACATGTGCTTCTTCTCGCTTGCTATCTTGCTTGCTTCTTTTGTGTAAAAGTTAGTTTGAATGCAGTAAAGCTGATTACTTCATATTTATCAAAATCCAAAATTTATTATTTTCTAGTAATTTATTATATTATAATAGTGATAAATGTATTCAGACGTTTACAATAGTTATTTCTCTGCAAACATTACCGTATTAATTACATTAATAAAAGGGGTATTACTCTGAACATAGGAATCATTTATGATAGATAAATGATTCATATGTTTATACAAATGTTTATGTTCTACAAATCTTTTTAAAGAAAACATTAATTTTATTTTATTTGTGTGTGGAATATTATGACATTTGTGAATAATATGCATTAAAATAGAATTAAATCTATACAAAAATTTTACCATTTTTTTATACATATCTATTGCCGACATTGTAATTCAATGACCAGCAGGCCAAGGAAGTTAAGACACAAATCTACCTCTTGGAGACCTGGAACAAATTTGTATGGGCCACCATAAACCCCAGGAATTTCCATGGGTGTGACATCCCAAATATGTCGGGTCTCATCCCTCGCCATCCCATTTACTCACACTCTGCATTTGGCCAAATGCATGTCAGGTATAATTAAAAAAGTCCTCTTGCTGTCTATGGAGTGGAGAGTCAAGAATAAAATTGTAATTTTGCACCCAAGAATGCTTATTGTACATAACATAAACTTTCATTCAATCATATGAAGCGATCATTTGTCCAAAATAACTGAAAATATTAGAAAAATTTATATTTAGAATTACAGCATACTCTTGGTCCCGACTCTGGGGATCCGGAATTGAATTCGGATGAGCACCTCTAGAAATTTTTCGGGGTGGTCTGTTCCAGATATATCGGACCTCGTTCCGTGCCACCTAGCTCCCATTTTGGGTCTGGCCAAATTCATGATTCCAGATTATAGTTTATTTAATTACATACTGAATTAATCAATAAACCTTTAACCATGTATGAAGTTTAAAGAACATTAACATTTTCAATTTATGTTGTTTTTGAAACTGTGTTTGATAAATATATTGGACTTCAAATTCAAATGCGAGTTTTAAATAAACACTTGGCTTTATTTAAAACTCTCATTTGAGTTCGAAGTCCAACATTTTTAGTTTTGTTAATAGGTAAAGACTATAGAAGTGGAATACACTTTGCAAGTTTGCTAACAAATATATATGTCATTATTTGTTGCATGTTTTGTTTATACAACTAATAAATATAAAATGCCGAAGCATAGACTGTAGCAGTCGCAAAGATGAAAGTTGGATGATACAAGAACAACATACCATAATACAGGGTCTTCCGAAAAGAATGGTATTATTTTAAATTATTCTAATTACATTAATTATTATCTGAAAATGTTCTTACATACATTAAAACATTGGAAAACTATCCAAGTTTCACATTTGCTCATTACAGCTTCTCAATGCATATATTTCATGTCACATGACACACATCCAATTGATATTCAGATTCTTTCTCTTCTCACTACAGTATATCCTTCATCACTCCTTCCACGGTAGCCACAATTCTACAGCTTTTGCAGATCACACAGTGATGGTAATTCTAATTTTGCAAACTGCAGAACACAAAATGCCTTCTCTGTTATATAGTCACCATTTTTGTTTATGACACTTCCCAGAAGTAGTAGACGGCAAATTGTTTGAAAGCAGGAGGGAGAGGAAACACAAACTTACTCTATCACATACTTCTCAGATAATTAATGTAATTATAGAAGTTCTAAATTGTAGCATTCATTCTGGAAGACTCTGTATGTAAGAATACAAAGAATGAAATACTGAAGAGGGACTTCAAAGTATATAAATGTCCAAAATACCCCAATAAAGGTTCATTAGTCTGATTGCAAAAGTTGATTTAAATGAAAAAAATTATCTCCTGGCACACATACATTTCAAATGTATCGCCACTTTCTTTTATTACAATACTTATTTGTAAATTTTGGAAGGTATTATTAATGTACACAATAAAGAATAAACCACTAAATATTTACCCCTCAGGGATGCTGGCTGTGAAGAACTCTATACTGTCTATTTGGGAACAGACTTCAATATGCCTTCATTCAGAATGGCTCCCAGTTCAGACATAAGTTGTAACAAAATTAAATTTGAACCTGTAATCTATACTGGTACCATATTAAATTATTGTTACTTGTATTACCCTTTAATTACTCTTTAACTTTGTTTCATTTTCTGAATCGTCAATGCTAACTTTTGGTCTTAAATTACATTGTATGTTTCCTCATTCATGCAACAAGACCCAGCCAACGCTCACATACGGCATGAATTTTCCAACATTGCACCCTATATAGACACTCCAAAAATCTTTAACATTGTAGAAACATTTGAGATTGCTGTAAAATCACCTTTTAGGCAATGGGAGCATTACAGTAGTTAACTATTGATTGTGAATGTAATTACTTTATCCCAGTAAAATTATTGTTATTGCTATACTGAAAAGAATTAATTATTTTTTGAATAATAAATATAAAATTCCAAATTAAACTTTGATCTAGAAAGCAATAAAGTTTTGGCATAATTTTTGTTTTAATGTATAAGGAATAATTTTAATTAAGTGCAAAGGATTTAATTTGAATGAGGAAAAATTGATGCCGAAGATAGAAGGGTCCATGTTTACTTAAGATTAAACATTTTTCGGGATATAGATCCAAAGAGGGTATGGTATGATCCTGAAAAACATTTATTCTTAAATAAACCGGGACTCCTTCATGTGTTCTAGCATCAGTTTTTCTTTGTTCTTCCAATGGAGTCGCACGATACATATAATTATTTAATTCAGAGCTTCTAATGCATGCTGCTTAATTACTGCTGATTTTCTTAATCTGCTTGTGTGTTGCTGTTTGTTTTAACACATTCACAAATATATTAATCCTGTGTTCACATTAATTGAGAATTAACAAGGGAAAGCAAAAGATTCTGGATCAGAGATTCTAAAATAAATTTTACATAAAATACGGAAATTATTTTTAAAATTTTACGAGATTTTAATTTTCAATACTCTTAAATAGTAGAAGTAATAATTTGTGGTTTCGAATGTATCTTTAGAGTTTCTTTTCCAGAAGAACTAGCATGTGCATGTGCATGTCAAAAGTTGTTTGACGTAAGCGTCAAATAGCTTTTGAAAAATTTCTTGTACTAAAATCAGTTATTTAAATATCGGATATTTATATTTTACAGGGCACGTCTAGCGATTTGGTGGTACAGGTTGTTCTTATAGCAGAGAGCATGAGATTACAGGCAATGATGGCCACTTACGGTATTCAGACGCAGACGCCTCACGAAGTAGAACCCGTTCAGATCTGGCCTCCCAGTCAATTAGTCAAAGTACATATAGTAAATTTACATCAAAATGAAGAGGAATAAAATATCATTATCATTTAAAGTTAACCATAATCTTTAGGTTTATGAATTTCTTGGGGTGACGAGGAAGCTCGGTTTAAAGGGAAGACCACCACGTCCGATTGGCGCACTAGGCACAAGCAAGGTAACTAATTTTACGATTTTAATTCCTTATTTCATTTTTCTCTTTGGTTGAAGTAAGATTGCTCAAAATTTTTCAGCTTTATAGAATATGTGGTCAAACAGTTATTTGTTATCCATTAATATTTGAAGTTAGTGATTTTTATCTGTCTCACGATATGGCTCTTCTGATTGATGACATTAAAGTAAGTATTATGGATTAATTTTATTAATTATTGGTAAAATTGTCATTGCAACATTCTTCATTAAGCATTTATGATACTGATATTTATTTTCATTTACACTCATTAAAGCAAAGTAAAAAATGACATCTCCATGTTTGTATCATTCTGTGACAAACTATCCGATTTGATGGCTCACTTTAGTCACATGCAGTTACGTATAGAACACTGGCAATAAGCTGTTGACTGTACGAAATCACTTATGTGCACCACAATGCAATCGCATGAGAATTATTCTTGCTTTTTCG